TCTATAATTAAAATAACATGAAATAAAGAAGCATATGGAAAGACTCCAGGCCGAAATAGCTTAAGAGAGGAGGAAAGAAAAACCTGTGATGATTTTGCTATTATCTAGATTCTACACAGTAGAAAATTGGAAACTGGTCTGCCTTGTTACTAACCCTACCACAACTACTATGTTGGAAAATGAGCAAATAAGCAGAAATATCTTCCTCTTTTTTTTTCTAATGAAAAATTGGAGGTTTCTTTTCTACCGTCCTCTGCCTGATTGGATGTCTTCATGTTGGAAAAGAGGGGAGCAAGGTGAAGAATCAGAAGAGAACTTGGAAAATAAGGCACTAATAGAGTGGGCAAAGGTTGGGGGAGAAATATCTGAGGTAAAACCTAGCTAATTACTGAGAAGAAGAAGATTCCCAAAACACATTCCTTCTTGCTATTGTTTACCTGATTGTGTTTCCAGAATAATGAGGGCACACCTTCAGGCTATCCTTGGGCAATGTTAGAAAAAGGACCAAGAATCCTACCTGTAAGCTGTCCGCAGTGCAACTAACGAGAAGTCTATGAGCTGTCTCACTCATAGACTATGGATGAGATCATGAAGGGAATCTTGCAGAAACAAGGGAGAAAAGGTTGTCACCCGATGCATACATAGTTTAAATGCCTTCTGTTTTTTTTGGGGGGGGGGGGGGTTTGCTTTTTAAATTATTTTTCCAGGTGGACAGTTTTTGTGAAACTTGTAAAATGTTCTGTGAGTTTTGAGTTGGGCTAAGAATGCTGGCTTGCTTATTATCTATCTGTCTGTCTATCTATCTATCTATCTATCTATCTATCTATCTATCTATCTATCTATCTATCTATCTATCTATCTATCTATCTATCTCTGGAGCATTACTGATACAGTTATCATTTTTGTGAATCAGGGCCCTCCCCCCTCATTCTTTGGTTCAACAAAGTTATTTTGCCAAAAAATGTATTCATTAAGTTTAGGGTTTTAAAGAAAAAAGGAAAATTGAGCTACTTCTGGGAGAGACCGAAAGATTCTTGGCCTTGAAAGTAAGAAGACTTGAGGTCTAACATTGAGAGAAGATCGATGGGTCTCTAAAAATATAGGGATAAAGAGGCATCACAAAAAGTGAATGGTTAATATCAAACACATAAATAAATAAAATCAGTAACATCAAAATAAAGTCAACCCTCTGGTGTACCCTTAGTAAACCTCATTCCCTAAATAAAACATTTGGTTGTGTTTTCACCACTGGAATGTTTACCGCATGAAGAGCTGGGATATGACTGGGAGTGCCTAATTACTCAATAGCATATAAGCAACACTTGAAAACAAAGTCACTATGGCAATAATATTTTGGTATTGCTGCATTTTGCTCCTTGGGGATGAGAAAGCCTTTTCAGTCTGTTTGCTTGTGAGTAAATGGGCAGCATCCATGTGCCAATGATAGATACGTCCCAAGGCGCAAATGAGCAAGCCAACAATAATTGATTGGCTGGTATTTTAAGAAGTCTTGGTTGAGCAATGATGTCTTAAATTATTGAAAAAATATTCCTTAGATTTCTGCTGGGAGGTCTTTACTTATGGAAGCCTCACCTGCTTTTTAATACTCGGAGAGAAATTTAATACAGCGAGGGGGTGATACTAGGGACACTTCCTTGTACTGCATTGCAGCTAATTAGCTGATGTATTACCCTCAGTAAGTCACTTCCCTTTTTCAGCTTGACAGTAAGTGACCAGAACAAGCTGGTGAAACAGGAAGAGAGCATTGTTTTGCTTCCTAAACAAACTGGCTTTTGTTTCTTCTCAACTGTTTCCCAGGGATTAGATTAAATCGATGAAATCTGACCGATCCTTTGGTCCCAACCCAACATCAGCAATGTGGAAAAAGAACCAAAAATTGGAAAAAGGGAGGGACAGGGGAGCAGAAGGATGATGTCTCAACTTTCCTAGGTTTCATAAGACTAGGTTTCAAATTTCTATTTGCCGATCTTTTAATGGTGAAAAAAAAGTCCCAGATAGACATTTGAGGTTTTACATATCTAGGATGGCACTACCGTGTTTCCCTGCAAATAAGACTGGGTCTTATATTCATTTCTGCTCTAAAAGACACATCAGGGCTTATTTTCTGGTTATATTTGGGGAAATACGGTACTAAATGCGTCTGTCTGGTTGACGATATTAACTGGAGCTTATTTTTGGGGTGGGGCTTATATTACAAGCATCCTGAAAAATCATGCTAGAGCTTATTTTCCAACTGGATCTTATTTTCGGGGAAACAGGATATCTAGATTCTTGCTAGCACTTTTTAATATGGATTTAAAGTGTATTTATTTATTTATTTAAATAGATGATTAGGGGACTGGAGGCTAAAGCATATAAAGAAAGGCTGCTGGAATTGGGTATGTTTAGTTTAATGAAGAGAAGGACGAGGGGGGACATGATAGCAGTATTCCAATATCTCAGGGTCTGCCACAAAGAAGAGGGAATCAAGCTATTTTCCAAGGTGCCTGAAGGCAGGACAAGAAGCAATGGATGGAAACTAATCAAGGAGAGAAGCAACCTAGAACTAAGGAGAAACTTCCTGACAGTTAGAACAATTAACCAGTGGAACAACCTGCCTCCAGAAGTGGTGAATTCTCCAACACTGGAAGTTTTTAAGAAGAGACTGGACAGCCATTTGTCTGAAATGGTATAGGGTTTCCTGCCTGAGCAGCGGGTTGGACTAGATGACCTCCAAAGTCCCTTCCAACTTTATTATTATTATTATTAATGAACATACACATCTGCCTATCCACAGAGTGATAGTAGATAGCTCACAACCAATAAAAATAGTATAAAAAGTGATCATGCCCTTCCCACCAAGTGCCAGGCCACCCTACTGTTGACCCTCTGACTCAGGCCCATCAGAGCCAAGTCTTCACAACCTTCCAGAAGATTAAAGGGTAGCCCCTTTCCTCAATCTCAGGAGAGAGGCTACACCTAAGGGGCCAGGGAAGCTACAGAAAAGGCACACAGGGAAGCTCCCATCAAGTAACAACCTTTGAGGAAAGGGACTTGGGCCAAATCTATCCTATCTGATATAGTGGGATGAAGAGAAACCCTTGAGGAGAGACAATTCTTCTTTAGCAATCTGGTTATAAAAAAAGTCATTATATGTAATTTCCCAACATTCTGTAATCAACCTTCAGATTCTAGTACATTTTTGTAATTTGACTATTCAGAAAATAAATAAAATACGAATTCAGCTGTAATTTTCTACAGGGAATTGCATACCACTGCCAATTCCTCAGGCTGGATGAAAATATCAAGCCTGGTTAATTTACAGCGTTTAAAATATATTAGGCTAATAGAGGTGATGGTGATTGCCTTTAGGATGTTACAGGTATCAGCACTGATTGCACTGATGGAAAAAATGGATCAACACTATGATGCTCCAACACTATAATGTATGCAAGATACATTTGGCAAGATTGTAAAAAATTCTAATTTTATTTCCTGAGCTTCTCTGCTATCTTGCTTTTGTTGTTCACCTTCAGCTGCTCACACAAACTTCAAGGCCTATTGAGCTTCTGTTTGCAAAGACAGTGGGGGTGGGAAAGATCAGGGAGGGAAGCTAGGCTATTGGAAACCAGCAAAGAGTGATTGACTATAACACATCCCTTCCAAAGCGCCCATATTCAGATAAGCAGGGATCAGCACCAGACAAACAATCGGGCAGAAAACAATACTCTAATCAAGGAACTATCAAGGGGGAAACTATACCCCACCAAAACTGGCAAAACAAACTACTGAATATAAACAGGCAGCAAGTGCCACACTCACTTAACATTGATAATGTTAAGTAGCTGGCTAATGAAACATTTGCAACCAAATAATTAAGCTCAGACAGTACCCAAAACCTTACAGAGGGACAGGGAAAGAATAGGGCATGTAATCTAAATAGTCTGGGGAGTCTTACACAAGCCTTTTACTGTGGTTAGGAAGAAGGGGTGAAAGAGCTGAGCAAAGTCAAACCCTTAACTTAAGGAGTCCTTTTGCGTATTCTGGCCAGTCAGAGTTTAAGGATTTGACTGAAAGCTGAAAGGCTACAACCACCTTGTTGGATCAGATCAAGGAGTCAAGGTTACATTTTCTACATAAGATGCATTCAGGAATCTGACAAACATTTAAAAAAAAGATGATTTCTCCTGAGCAGCTGGAATTCAAAGTATACTATCTGTGATCATAAGCATCTGTAGGGGGCCAATTATGATATTGTATGCGACAATATCTTGACTTACATATTTTGTCAGGTGTCAGGATGCAAGTATGTAATGGTGACATTTGCATGAAGTTTGTACTTACTTGATAACACTGGAGTTTGCTGTGCGTATCATTATCTGTTATTCTGAAAATAGCAGATAGTCATTAAGACTACTAATTAGTATAAGCATCCATTGATTTATCCAGGAAAAGAATACTTCCAAAACATCTCAGCATGAGAATACAAGATAGGTATATAAGTCAGTGAAAGAATTAATTCTTTCATTTACATATAATGGGTCCTATGATACGGCATGAAACTTATATTTCCAAGGGATATATGTGGAAATCTAATTCTCTGTTGGGAGTCTAAATTGTCTTTCGAGAAATCTCACTCTCTTAAGAAAAAAGATTGTAGACACAAATTAACTGCTGTTATAACATCAGCACTATGGTGCCTACAAATGCTGTAGGATACTTGGATACTTCTCACTCTGCCATGTTGATTTTTAAAATATTTTTAATTAAAAAAATTAAATGGGATGCTAGCAAAGCCAAGCACCATCCTCGCACACACACACACATATTTTTTTATTTCTTTCAGATCCCACAGATATTTCACAGGCATTCCTAGAATATAAAACTGATCAGAAGCTGCAGTCCATCTGATTTGGTTGTGTGTCCATCTGACCAGAAGAAAGGGCTAAGGAGACAAAGTAGTGGGCATTTGGGGAGTTTGGAATGAGAAGTGACAACTGTTTGTAAATAGGTGTTTTATGATCGGTCAAGTCCACCATAACAGTACATTCAGAATGCTCTCATCATTCCAGAAGATGCTTATCAACTCATATAGTTTAGAGAACTTTGTCACAAGATAAGAGCAGCCTACAGAATCCTACTGGGAAGCCATCAAGCAGGACATGATTCATCCTCTTGTTTGAATTCAGAAACATGGCACTTCAGATAGTGAAGTCATATGGCCAACTTAATTATGACCCATTGACAGCTTAAGGGCCAGTAAAAACATGTATGGGTAGCTGTTTACTTATTACCTCAATTGGGACTGGAGTTTAGGTCTAAACAAGGCAGTTGTTAAATGATCATCATGTAACTAGACCCAATTTTACAACCATTAGCTGGTTAATCAAATCAGCATGGTCGTTAAGTAAATCATGTGGTTTGTTAAGATGAATCCAATCTACCCAATTGACTTTGCTTGACGGAAGCTGGCTGGGAAAGTCACAAATCTCATTCTTGTGACCACAAGTCACTACAATTGTAAATACAAGCCAGTTGCCAAGTGCCCAAATTGTGATCATGCGACCATGGAGATAACACAATGATTATAACTTCGAGGATGAATCATAAGTCACTTTTTTCTGAGACCATCGTTAACGTTGAACTGTCATTAAGCGAACAGTTGTTAAGTCAAGGGCTACCTATATTAAGCCCCGTTACTATTAGTTCCCTATGCTGAATTATCCCCTCTAATATTCTTGGGTTTTCTGTTTTCATTACAATAGCCAGTTCATCTTGTCATACCATGCAAACCAGGCCATTTTTTTTTGCTCTGTATGGGCAGTCTTAATTAAAACAAACCAATAAAGCTCAAGTCTGTCTTCTTAAAAAAAAATATTTCAGATGTTTTGAATTGCTGAAATCTAACAATGTGAAGATAGCCGAAGAATCTTTACTTATTACCAACATTCAGCTAGTATGCAGTATTCCTTATCTGCAAAAGTCTAGACCAGGGGTTCTCCACTTGGCAACTTTAAGACTTGTGGACTTCAACTCCCAGAATTCCTCAGCCAGCTTTCTGGAATTGAAGTCCACAAGTCTTAAAGTTGCCAAGGTTGAGAACCCCTGGTCTAGAAGCTCTTGGGGTTTGGGTCAACATGATTATCAGATCATGCATAAGGCAAGACTCTGCTGACTGGAGGAAGATCCCTTGGCCAGTTAGCTGACTGAGCACTGAACCCATACTCTTGCTGATGGTCATGTGACTGAGTTAGTAAATTATGAAATGAAAGAAAGATTAGGTTTGCATTTCTATATGTAGTCCCCAATGTTCTTTGAGTTGGAGGAGACACATATTCTTGTATCTTCCTAATAAGTCTTCAGAACAGTGGCTCTCATAAAGCCTGAATAGAAGTGCTTCCTCCAGGGATTCCTCATATTTTGGGGGGTCAATTTTACCTTCTTTTGTTACAACAGGTAAGGAGGACAAATACATCCTCCCAGTCCAGGGATTCCAATCAACTGTTTTGTTCTGCTCTTCTTCCATCCCTGTTTCCTGGTTTTCCCTGGTCATTGTTCCAGTCTGGTGAAGTTTTGAAGTTGTCTTTTGAGTTATCAGAGATAGTAAAGTGTGTGGCTCTTTGAGTGCAGTTTCTTTTTCATCCAAAAAGGTCTCTTTTGAATCAGGCACCAAACAAATGTCTGCTATAACATCACACTCAGAACACAAGGCCTGGTTGGGCTCATCAGCCATGAAATTTATCAGAGGGACCTCAGCATCATATAATTGTAAAGAAGCAGAATTCCTTTCATGCACAAGGACTTTTTTTACCGGTGGCCTGAAAGAGGTATCTGGAGCTTGTGTGTCAAACTGGGGGCAATAGCCCTGCTTTGTCCCATAGATGGGCAACTCTGACATAGCTGCTTGTGAATTGTGCAGTGCACAATCTGGTTCCCAAATACAGCTAAATATTTGTTGTTTCTCCTGAACTGGAGTCATCTGTTCAGCCCTCACATCAAATTCATATACCACCACCTCATCATTGTGCGGCTGTCCTAAAGCCTGGGGCGATTCCAGCTCTGCCAGTTTTATTTTGCTTCTATTTTGCTCATTTTTGAGTACAATGTCCTTTTCTAAGAAATTATTGTTTCCTAGACCCTTTTTTGAAGCTTTCTCTTCCACACAGCTTCCCGCACCAGTCTCAGCATTGATGTAACCATTGCCAGTTTTCCACTGATCATTGTCCGTAAAGGATTTATGTTCTTCTACAACATTAACTGTAATTAAGTTAACCACTATTTTTTCAGAAGGAACAAAACTATCTCTTCCACAGCTTTGACTGTATTTCAAGATCTGAAACAAAAAAGGTAAAACTTTAGAAAGAAAATAGCCCTATCTGTTAAATATCAACTAAATCTGGTGGAATATGCTTGTGACATAACTATATGAACATTTCCTTGATGACATTTTCTTGATAACTATCAGGCTTACGGTGCTGAGTAAGGAATGGAAAATTGGTGGCTAAGAAAGATATTGCCTGTTGGCACCCAGAGTTTCACACCTTTCCCTCTGAAAATTAGGGGAAAAATTGATCTACAGCTACCACTTCCTCGTTCATTTACTTCTTATCTTCTTTTTTCTGTAATTTCTGCTTCATTATTTTCTTAATTTCTTCTCTACAATTTTTCCTTTCTACCAAGTTATTATAATATTTCTTGCATTTCTTTCTTTGACATGTACTTAAGAATTCACTTATCTACTGCTATATATATATATATATATATATATATATATATATATATATATATATATATATATATATATAATATATATATATATATATATATATATATGTTTTCTGAGGTTTTCACGGGGGTTTATATGTAGGTCTTTGGTTGTTCGGGTTTTCTCCTGCGTGAAATTGGAAGTGTCTTGGCACCAAGACACTTCCAATTTCACGCGAACAACCAAAGACCTACATACATACATACATACATACATACATACATACATACATACATACATATGATGCAATCTTCGATCTCCGGGAAGAGTATACTCCAGTTATTTATTGTTAAAACCACATTTAAAACAATAAAAACAGTTATATACAAAAATTAAAACAACTTAGCTTTCGCTGGACCAGCCAATAAATTTAAAATACAGTGATCCAAAGTATATGCATGATTGAGGTATGTATTTTTAAATACTTGTGAAACATCAAATAGTGAGTCTACAACTCAGTGAAAAACCTAAAACCTTTTTTAAAAATATATCAGTTCATTCTTCTGCTTCTATTAAAGACTGCAAGCACCAACGCTGCAGAGTTCCATTCTTTAAAATTCTGGAGACATTAACCAATCACAATGGTAAGCATTGTACTGTTGAAAAGTAGGCTCCCAAAAGAGTCAAGGCAAGGTTCCCATACTGTATTAAGCCATGTTTGTTGCTTAATGCACACTGTATGAAGTCTTGCTCTAAGGATATTCTCTGTCTCTTGATGGCATGGCAACTGCTTGTAATCCATTGAGAGCAAATGCCCCATTGGAAGGTATCTATCTACACTTCCATCTTCCTAAATACAGCACAGTTCCCTCCTGCCAAATCTTGCTTGGCAACTTTGGATTCTCCTTAATGAGCTCAAAGCTATTGGTCCTTTGCAGGATTATTTGCAGTCATCTGGTTGTCATTCAGGCCACATTTGGGGTATGTGTGTGTGTGTGGTTATCTGTATTCTCAGAATCACTTGAATCAGAGTGAAAATGGATAGGGGACCTTCTTGGGACTTCGGAAAGGACTGTGTTGTAAACAGGAGATAGATGGTGGCATATACAGAAGGAGATAGTGAGACTCTGAGGATACAGATAAACTCCCAAGTGGCCTCAGTGATTTTCAGAGTAGTAATGACCAGATGATTGCAAAGAATATAAAACCTTCCATTCCCCATCAGTTAGTTAGAACTGAAAAAGCTTCTTGGATAAGAAGCAAAACATTTTCAATGAAAAAAACCAAGAAAGTCCAGTTGCCTTTTGGAAAAACACCTTTGGGACATCTTCCGATGTCTTTCGCCATCACTGTGGGTAAAGCTTGTTATTGATTTGCCACAATGCTGTTTGAATGACGCTAAAAGATTCTGTAAGTCAGAGGTCCCCAACCTTTTGGGCTCCAAGGACTGGTTCTGTGGAGAAAGATTTTTCCGCGGACCAGAGGGGGCGTGGTTTTGTGTGCTGCCTGCATCCAGCGGATGGGGCTTCACTTGTTTGTGCAGCCCGGTTGCTGGTATGCTGCGGCCCGGAGCCAGTCCACGGACCAGGGGTTGAGGACCCCTGCTGTAAGTCATTTGTAGAAATCCTCCATAGTCATGTAAAGCACTTTGAGCCCTTCCAAATAGTTGCATAGGTGAAAAAGAGATATCTTACCAAAAATATTGTCTCTACCTGGCAATTGTTATTTTAAGAAAAGCAATTTTGGGCAACTGCTCCTTGGTATGGTTTGCTTCTACAGTACCTATCAGGAGATTCTTCAAGTGAACTATTTTATGTAAACTGACCTGAGGATAAAAAATGCAAAATTCATTCCTCCACAGCTGTTGAGTCTTCCTGTTGTCCATTTCTATTAATGCATGACAGAAATTGCAGCATCCGCAATTCCCAGGAATAGCTATCTGTATTTAATGTCCACCATTGTTTCAGCTAAAGAGCTTTTTTCAAATAAGACATTTGTACTTGTATAAAATAGGTTTCATTGCATATTGTCTTAAAAAAATTATGGCATCGTATATTTCAAAGATGACAAAGAAGCCTTACCAAGTTCTTGGGATACGTTTGCTTCACAAGATGAGTGTACCTATATAGACAACAGCTTGACATCAAAATAATCAGGACTAATAAAAGGCCTGGTAAAGTATATCCAAATATGACTGTTGCAGTTTGTTTGAAAACTGGATCTGCTGAGAAAATATAGGTTAGATGTTTTCCATTTTTCAAAGGGCCAATAGGCAAAAAGCATTAACAATTGACAGCTATCTTTCCCATTTGAGAGCGGAAAAACATGCATTCTGCATGTGGTTTTCAACTTACAAGCCATTCATTTTGTGATTGTTTGAAGTTACAATGGCACTGAAGAAAAGCAGTCCTCACACTTAAAACCATCATAGTATCCCCAAGGTCTTATGATCAAAATTTGGGCATTTGGCAACTGGCATATATTTATGATGCTTGCAGCATCCCAAGGCACCTGACTGCCATTTGTAATCTCCCCAGCCAGCTTCTGACAAGAAAAGTCAGTGGATGAAACCAGATTTTCTTGACAACTACGTGAATCGTGTGCTTGTTAAGAGAATCTTGCTTCTTCCACAGACCTTGCTTCACTTAACAACTGCAGTGAATCTGCTTCTTCCACAGACCTTGCTTCACTTAACTGCAGTTATTTACTTAACAACTATATATAAAAAAAAGGGGTTGTAAAATCAGATGCAACTGACTTAACACTTGCTTTGCTTAGCAACAGAAATTCTGGTCCCAACTGTTGTAAGTCAAGGACTACTTGTACACTGAATAGAAAATATGCTTAAGATGTTATATCTATTTGGAAGTTTAACATATTTTAAAGTCTTTCTAATTTCGAGTAAAAAATCTGATCAGATTAGAGGGTTATTCAGAACCGAGAAGTGCCCTTTAGCTTCTGTAGAGAATTTTGACAGTTCTGTCTTCAACATATGCCCACATATAAGCCAGAATATTTATGAAATATATTATTTTTCAAAACGCACTGCATGTTAGCAAGCATTAAAATAAGGTCCCTTTTATAACTTCTTGCTTGTGTAACAGCTGGGTTATGTTCTTTTAAATTCTATATTTAGGCTGTTCATCCAGAGTAAGTTATTGATTTCTCTGCCAGCAGTTTCTTTCTTCGCCTAATTTATCTGCATTTATTAGGAATACATAGGCAATTAATAATGACTAAAAGGGGCTGACTTGCTTGTTTCTAATAAAAGATTTAAAATTATGCTCTTTAGAATCCCATCAAAGCAAAAATGCAACTACTTAGTATTGCAGAGCTGGAAATGAGTGGTAAAAACAGGTCTATTTTTGTAAAAGTAACTAGCAGAGGCCATATTGTAATATGAAGGTTGCCTTTTCTATCTATCATGAGACATGAATGGAAACCTAAGGTCAGCTATGATAGATCTTGGTTGATCTTTCAAAAAAACAATTATGGTGATATAGAAATTGAAGAATGAGAAGGTTTCCATTTGTGGCAGATGTAACAGATGTAACACAGGAAAAGTTACATGTATTATAAAGCCAAAAGATTCTTCTTAAGAATTTTCAAGAGAACTAGAAACCTATGTGGAATTGTTCCTCAACAATTTTCGTCTGTTCATAGTATTGATGACACACAGAAGTGTGGTGTATTTTATACTCCTTTGCTTACCTTTCAGGGTAGCAATGCACTGTTCTTCAGATAATTCACTAAACAGAAGTGGAGTAATATATACTTGTACTGTGACACAGTATAGTCTATTTGGCTGTAACTGTTGCACCTCCAATCTGTTGTTTTGAATGCAAAACATCCACTAAAGAAAGGAAGAAGGAAGGAAAATCTTTTTATGTTTTAAAAACTTAACTATATTGAGATGTCACTTACTGAACAAATACAGTTGAAAAGCCCTTTCTGAAAACTACTCTATAGTTTTCTATAGCCTCATATAAAAGCAGAAAATATGCCATATATTTGGGATTGAAAAGCCTAGCTCAGTGGTGGCAAACCTATGGCATGCGTGCCAGAGGTGGCACTCAAAGCCCTCTCTGTGGGCACTCATGCCATACGCTGGAGATGGCAACCATCCCTCTTCAACTAGCCGCCTGCTAACTCGCCGAGGTCCCACATGGCTGGATGCATCCCAGCACCCATGCGCTCTCTGGCCTCTGGGTGCAGGGTCCGATGGTGTCAGGCAGTGCCCGGCCTGGCCCCTGTCTCACCTTGCCCTGTGACAATGGCATCTCCGCCCTGCCTCACCCCACAGGACGAGCCTCCTGCCCACCGCCCCACCTGCCAGAGACCCCCTGGATCTCCCCCCAACCTTGCCCGGCTCCAACAGGTGTCCCTCCCCATGAGCAACATCGAGGTGATCATGCCTACCTTGGCCACACCCACCCAATCTGCCATGACACCACAGCCATGCCCACCCAGTGGGCCACGCCGACCTGGCACCCAGCGATAAATAAGTGGATTTTGGGATGCAGTTTGGGCACTCGGTCTCTAAAAGGTTGCCATCACCGGCCTAGCTAAAAGCACTGCATAACAATAAATATTGCAATCATGCAATAAGGTGTCACATATGATACTTCCTCACTATACGTGGAAAAATGAAAGTTTGTTCTGCTTTGAAAGGGAGTCTTTTGTCTTCAACAATATTTTGAACCAGAGCTTTGTTCAGGCAACAGATGCTTGAAATTCTAACATAATAAGTAACTTCTGATTTGATACGATAGCACTTATGCTATGTTGTGATATGGCTATAAAAGTGAAAGACTGTTATTTTTACAACCTGTTATGAATGCGCAAACCGTGTTAGATATGGCACCCACAAACAAAAGTTGCAAACAAGTCACTGACTGGTTAACAGTTCCCAATCTTCTGGGGGCACATTTGGAATTAAAAAAAAAAATGATATGGGAACAGTTGCAATACAACTGCTGTGGGATATAGTTGGTCACATATAAATCAGGTTGAGGGCACTTTAAAATGTTCATAGTGCCCTCTTGTGGTCTGGCTATGTTCATATAGCATAAACTGGGCAACTCAGTTGTGCTGCTGAAATTGGTGGCAAAATGTTCAATTTCCAATGATGTAATATTTAGGAATTATTTCTATCCACAAAAATAAAGGTAGAAATGGAAGCAAATACTGTACTGGGGAGGCAAACAAATTGGATTTTCAGCCTTCCTCTCCAACAGTGACCTGTAGTGAAATATTATAGCCGGGGTCTTCAAACTAGGCCCTTTTATGACTTGTGGACTTCAACTCCCAGAATTCCTCAGCCAGCATGCCTGACTGAAGAATTCTGGGAGTTGAAATCCATAAGTCATAAAAGGGCCAAGTTTGAAGACCCCTGTATTATAGCAACTACAAATCCCAAAGCAGGTTGAAAAAAAAATAAAACCATCCCTGTTATTTCCCCTTTCTACCATGTTACCTTCTCCTTATGACATCACCTGGGGCCATTCCCTTGGTTAACCGCAAATTGCCTCTGCTAATTCTGGGAAAATCTCCATCCTCCCTGATGCGTTGTGTTAATCTATTATTTCTTTACTGATGCCATATTGAATATACCACATATATAGCATCATCTAATTCCATTTTGACTTGGTACTATGGGAGGATCCACTCTCTACATCTCTATGTTTTCCCCTCCTCTTCCTCTCATACACACACAATGCTTGAGAGAGAGGCAGGCAAAGAAAAGTGAAGAAACTGGGTAGAGAAAACTATTTCAAGCAGGAAGTCAAAAGGACTTGAGTAGAAGGGCAAAAAGTATCAGCTCAGTTTCCAGCAAGGATTCTAAAGCCTCAAGAATCCTTGGTGAGAAGTAGATTTTCATCTATTTCAGCTATATATTTTAAGCCAGCTTTTTTTTTTTTTGAGAGGGGGGTTTATTTAAGGTACGAGTCAGCAAGGCAGATGGACAGCAATGCCACTGGAAGTACAGTGGTTCCAGATTATATCTCGATCGCTTCTCTTTGGAGCTTTGTCCTGCTCTGTAGTTGCTTCATAGTTTTGCTTCTCGTTTCTACTTCTGGCTCTGTTTCCTGAATTTTTTTTTTCAGTCCGCGCTTGCCATATTTAAGGTAATTAGATAGAGGATAAGCATTGATTTGACCTGGCAAACTGCCCTGGAGTTCCAGGTGCATCTTTCTTTTCCAGGAATTCATATACATTGGCAACTCCTCAAACTGGGGGGAGGAGAGGGAGCTTGGGAAAGAAAACAGATTTTGAAAACAAGAACGCCCTCCAACACGAGGCAATCTCCTCCTCACATATAATCTTCTGTTCTAGACTACAGATTTCCTACTACAGATGTGCCTATGAAAAGAGAAAGATTAAACTGGGAACATCTACAAACCCAGACGTCAGGCACAGTTACATTCTCACTGGATCTACAGTTATTGTCTGAAGACAGCCTTGGATTTTATCTCTGTCTGTCTACCTCAGCGTTTCTCAATCTCAGTACCTTTAGTCTGAGTGGAGTTGGCATCCGCTCACCTTAAAGTCACTGAAGTTGAGCTACACTGATCTACACCTTCATAAGCCAGAAGGATGCCACTTCTATCTAGTCCAGTGGTTCTCAACCTGTGGGTCAGGACCCCATTTGGGGTCGAACGACCATTTCACGGGGGTCGCCAAACAACGCAGTCCGCCATTTTTTCCCCCTTTTTCTTAGCTGTGTTACTCCCTTTTATTCTATTGGCTTTTGAAAGCCAATAGAATAGGCTCTCTTGAACAGAGTCTAATTCTACTGGCTTTCAAAAGCCAATAGGAATTGTCCAGGCTGTCTCTGCCCTGCTGAGCCCGCCAAAAATCCCATTCTGCAAACGGTGCTGCACGAGTTGAGTAGTCCTCGACTTACGACCGGTTGAGTAGTCCTCGACTTACGACCGGTTGGGGGTCGCAGCATTAAAAGGTTGAGAACCACTGATCTAGCCAGTAGCACAATCCATTTAAATTGCCAAGCAATAGTTTCTATTTCCATATTCACACTTACTCTTTTATTTATGTTCTTGTTGAATACTGACACGTTATATTGTAGGCCCGAGTATATTTCCTGCAAATACACGGGTTGCTCCCTGGGATTTCTCTTCCACTTCTCGGGGGGGACAACAGTGACTGAAATAGAATTCTCGGTCGATGAGAGGGCAAATGCAGGTGGATCGATAGTTGCTGAAAAGCAAACATATATAATTATTTAAAAGAGTAAGAACACAATAAAGGAGAATATTTGTAGCTCAGGGTTGAAATGAGGGGTCCTTGATGCTCTCTGAGCTTGCTTGTTTCCTTGCAGTCATTTCATTACCGAAACTAAGTAACATCATCAGTGCTAGGGATGATGATATTACTAGCACTGATGATATTATCTACTTTGCGTAATGAAACGTTTGCAAGAAAACAAGAAAGCTCAGAGAACACCGAGGACCCCTCAGTAAGAACACAATCAAAACCAACTGAGACAGAATTTCCTTGTTGGTCTATCTCAGTGTTTCTCAACCTTGACAATTTTAAGGCATGTGGACTTCAACTCCCAGAATTCCACAGCCAGCATTGCTGGCTGTGGAATTCTGGGAGTTGAAGTCCACATGCCTTAAAATTGTCAAGGTTGAGAAACACTGGCACTCTATCTGATTTATTTTTACCTTGAACTTTTCAGTAACGCAGGTTTAGGCTTGCCTATTCCAACAGGTACCTCTCCAGTTTGTCTCACTACATGGATCATCATTTCAAATCAGCACAGACCATTGTGGCTAGTCGTGAAGAAACCTAGGTTCCAACACAATTATAGAGGACCAGATTGGCTAAGCTGACTTACGTTAAGAAAAGTTTTAATATCTTCCCTTCAATTGTATCATTAATTTGAATTTATTTAGAAAAATTCAGTATATTGAGCAGGATCTAAAGAAAAAAAAAACCTGAAAAAGTTTTCCATGAGTCAAAAGGCATTTATATTGGTTTTCATAATCAGTTGCCATTGAATGTATACCGTATGGCCAACCTGGCTTTGAAATTGAGAGGTGATTCAGAAGCAGTTCCTGATGAAGTGTGAGAATTTTTTAATCAAAGAGAGAGAGAAAAAATAAAGCTACTAGACTTGTCCAGGCTTCTCACTGAATCTATATATTGCAATAAATATCTTTAGAAGCTGTATTGTTTTGATTAACACAGTGACACTTTCGGAGGGGAAATGGAAGTGTGTATCTGTGTGTTTCCCATGGAACTTCCTTTTTCAACTTCAACAAGTTTGGAGAAACAGACCAAAACCAGAACATTAATGAGTGCCAGTTGCAGCAGACTGAAATTAATATCCTCTACCCAGAAAAATAATAAATCACCTGCTTTCTCTGTTTAATGAGCTGGGATTCAGCAAATCCAATATATACCCCTAACTAATAGCGAAGGTGCAACAGCATCCTATTTCATAAATGGCAGCCTCAGAGACACAACAGTCTTAGAACAATGCAGTCAGGGGCAAGTACTTTATAACTATTCTTCCATGGCTTCCCCTTAGGTATTATTATGAAAAAAAAAAAAAAAATCCCAAACTCCTGTCTGAAGCTGCTGTTCACATTTTGAGGGAAGCTTTCTTCTGCAGCAATGGGAGTTTTCTTGATCATTCAGCAATTAATGGAATATTTACTTTGTATTTCAAAGAATGCAATTGAACTGCCATGCACATAACAGTTATTATATAGCAAAAGCCTGAGCTGAACCTTAATTATACCATTTTCAGTCTTTGTTCCTAGTCACCTTCTACTTGCATTTATTTCTATAGAACAATCCTCAGGCTGTGTTTGGACCAGTTCCTCTTTCGCCAATCATACATTTTGCATATTCCAACATGCAGTGGTGGGATTCAGCCGGTTTGCATTGGTTCGGCAGAACCGGTAGCTAAATTTTGCTGAGTTCGGAGAACCGGCTGAATGAACACTGCTTCCGGAAGTCTGTTCTAGGCCTTGGAGGCCTGGAGGAGTCCTCCCAGGTTTGAATGGCCCACTATGGATGCACTTCAGAGGCCCAGGTCTGCATCCAATAAGAAAACCGGTTGTTTGGGTATTTGAATCCCACCACTGTCAACATGTGTCTGTTGCATGAAATCAGTGGTAAGGGATGAAGGTGAAAATCAGCAAATATCTAACACTAGTTGCTGCCCTTCAGCATCTCACAACATTGTTATGAGCATATATTAGTTGTCCTTACTGTCTGTAAATGGATTGAACCTTGGTGATTCTGCCCAGACAGAACAATTTCCCTTTAGAGAGACTTTCACTCTGGCATGATATTGCTCTTTGTGGTTGTAGGTTTCCTGTGAGAGGTCACACCAGGTTTGATTGATATTCTTACATTCCGGATACTTAATCCATTTATCTGTGCCATATCTGAATATCAAAAGGGAAAAGAAAAACAGTCAAAATTAGCATTTTTACAATTAATCCTTAATTGGGGTTGAATTCCGGGGAGGAGGGAAATGCAGAGTTTTAAAAGATTTCTTTGTTGTTTAAATATTAAATGCCTATTTTAGGATTTCAGAAACTGGACTTGGGGATTTCTTCCAAAAAAGTGCATTGGGGAATGGTGGGGGTATAGCTGTGTCAAAAAGAGCACAGCAATTTCTGCTTCTGGAATTACTTGCTGGTAAATTTGGGGTGGGCTGTGTCTGCAACTCTTTAAAGCAGCTATATCTTTCCCTGGGATCTCTGGCTGACTGTAGAACTGCTACACAATCCTGGGAAAAGTCAGGGCTACTTTAAAGAATTGCTATAGCTGATACATTCATGATACACCTGTTGTAAAGTGCACTTTTAGAATCCAGCCTGAACTGTGGCAGAATTTTACTATTCTATGATGTTCTCATACATAAAAAAGTTATGTAACATAGCAAATCCTCTTCCAGCTAAATTTTAAATAAATAATTCATTTCTTAAGTTATTAGTAAGGAATGATGTTGTGATGAAATAGTAAAAATAAGATTTAAAGACAAATTTTTCAAGGGCTCTGAATTGTTTCAAAAATTCAGTATTATCATTGAGGAGTGGCTTTTTCATGTCTAATACTGCATCCTTCAGCATACTCTACTGAGAGCTTCAGCAAGAAGTTAATAAGAGTGAGTTAAAATACCTTTAACTCTATGCTATGTGTTTTCTCCTCTTAATACTCTCCCAGGCAGCCAGTTGCAGAAGAGATATTTCTCAGTGGAAGACTGAATAAAGCTCTGATGTAAAAATTTAAAAATTAACCTTAGGACTGCCTCCCTCATTTATAATCTTCAGCCTCTTATGGTTATAAAAAAACAAGCAGAATGAAGTATTTGCACATGGAAATAGCTGACTTTTACAATGTACACAGTGTAAAATTCAATAGCCAACATACATCAAATACTTCACTTTATAATTTAATTTGTTCTCTGCTATTCCTTCTGGTGGCAACCAATGCAGGATGTTCTTCATGTTTCTGGAGATAAAATGGACATTCTGTGGGCTGGGCAAAAGACAATGTGATGCTATTGGGAAAGAAAACAAATGACACAAATGAACAATTAGATTATGATCCACACATTAAAACAAATTGGGGGGACTTAAAACAAAATAGATGAAGGGGCTTTGACAGAATGAAACTCTTGGGTGGACCAGAAGTTCTTTCAGGAAAATTGTTCCGTCTCCCTTCTTAGGCATTGAAAAATAGAGGATGTTCTTTGCTGTCATATAGTAGCTTCATATGGAAAAAGCAATCCTGTAGGCTTAATAGAGAGCCAGTTTGGTCTAGTGGTTAAGGTTGCTGTTGTGGAGAAAATAGGAGGAAAGTGTATTGAGTTATTTGTAAAAATAAAAAAGGTGGAATACAAATAAATAACATAAAAATAATATCTATTCCCATTTTTAATGCTATTGTGGATAGTTTGTTTTAATTATAAGGATACAATTTCCATAGACTGAAGTTAAAAATGATCATTGGGCTTATAGTTTACTGATTATATCTATAATATATAGTTGAAAATTTAATAGAGTAGCAAGTTTGTGACATTTTGGGGGAAGTTCATATTTATTTCCACTATGTTCCTGGCAATTTCTGGGGTCAATACTGTGTAAAGGTGTTTTGCTTCTGGGACAGCAAAGAGATAGGCCTGTATGGGCCTGTTTGGTTGCAGACTGGATTTTGATGATGAGGCTCATTGAATATTTAACTTTATAGAAGAACTCTGCAGATACAGATGGTCCTCACTCACCACTCTTCTTGTTCAGTCATTGTTTGAAGTTATTACAGACTGAAATAACTTTATGGCTAATTTACCATCTTTGCAGCATCCTTCAGTAACTTGAGAGTAAGCACAGCCATAGTTCCCAGCCATGGGCTGCAGTGCAATCACATTGCTTTCAATGTGTACAAAACAATGAGCAGGCACTTGAACATTGTGAAGGGGAGTGATTAGGAAGCAACCAAATGCATGAAAAGTATAAAACTGAATAGTCTTCTTTCTTCTGGTTGGAAAACACCACCATAGTCATATGATTTTCCATTTAGTGACTGCTTCACTTAACAGTAGCTTACAATTAGAGTTATTTACTAAGGACCACCCATGGTCCTTGGTTATTGGTTGCTCCTCCAACAATCATCCAATGTTACAATGGTGCGGAAAGAGGAATTTTAAGACCTATCCAATCACATAATTGCAGTTGAGTGCTTGGCAATTGGCATGCATTTATGATGGTGACAGCATCCCAAGGTTACATGATTGCCATTTATGACTTTCATAATGAGCTTCCAGAAGCAAAGTCAATGGGGAAGCTGGCTGGAAGTCAGCATGTGATGTCATGCTTAATGACATTCATTTCACAACTGCCGCTGGGACTAATATAATAAATTGAGCATGGTCACATGATGAATCATTTTACTAACTGTGTCACTTAGCAATGGCAAGTGAAGATTACCTGTACTTGAATTTGAAAGCTACAAGTAACTATGATTTGGTCTTGTGAATTACTGACAATATTTGGGAATAACACTTAAATTACTTAAGTACATTTATGGAGATTTTTTAAATACTAAAGATCTTAATGTTATGTTATGTTCCAAAACTTTGGGTTCTTACTATTTTGTGGGAATTGTGGTTATATCAGGTCTGCGGTATTGCTAAGAGAATTATTTTGAGAAATTGGAAAGGTAGCATTATTCCTGATATTAAGGAGTAGATTCAAATTTATCTATCTTTGAAAGGGTAATTCTATCTACTGTACTAATAAAAATGACATGATATGTTCTCCTCTGGCATAAATTTTGAAATATTTTGTTACCTTAAACTGTCTTAATTTATTTTCTTTAATTTAGATAGGTTTAAGTATGTTTTAATATTTTAGGATATATAATATCTATAGGTGATTTAATCTTTTTTTGTTAAGTTTGCTATTGTTTTCTTTTGTTGTTTTAAATAAGTTTTCCATTTTTGCACATTTCTTCTTATAAAGCTTTTTAAGATAAATAAGCTTAGTAGAAATAAAACACTGAAGTTCTTTTTCAAATCTGTGTTTGTACCGTATGCATGCAAACAATAGAATTAACCATATTTTGAGTTTGCATAACACAGTAAACCATAAAATAACCAAACCAGCTGGATTCATAATTGAGGTTAGTGCTTAAATTTGACCAAAATTAAAGTTATGCCATCAGGTTCACTGTAACGTTGATTAAATGTCTGTGAGAACTCAGTACATAATGCAGAATTCTATGCATCTTATTTTAACCATGTTATTGTTATGCATTGCCAATGTTGTCATTATGTAGGCCCATCATAATATGGAGCTATCTTTATAATTCTTTTAAAAAAGCATTTCTCACCTAATTGCATTGGTATGTCACTTTTTCTCCAAGAAAATCAAGATAGTATATGTGGATTTCTCACCCTTTCTAGGAGAACAATTTGTTCAAAATCTGCCAGGAAGCTTCATTCTGAATGAAGATTTGGGTCTGGGTCTCAGTGCAACCATCTAACCATCCGCTGCATTAGCTGATCAATGAAAACTGCAGGGCGGAGGAGGCACCCATCCCTAGAAATAACTTCAAAGCAACAGTAGGATTCTTTTTTCCCCCAAAGAGTGAGCTGTCCAACAAGGCAAGAAATCTTGAAGCATAACTAAAGACAATTTGAAAGCATGGGAAAACAGCCCAGCCCTTTCTAAGCCAAAGACCTGTCTGATCGGGTTCAGCTACCTGTTAAAAACCTTGCAAGTTTCCCCTAAGTCTACTCAAGTCTTGCACACTGTTTGCATAAACAGTGCCATTTTAAAAAGTGAGCTTGGTTGCCCCCCCCCCGCCCCCGTGATTCGTCCACTCTGCAAGTATTCCGAGGTATCCCTTTCCTGATATTTGCAAATAATAAATGTAACGCCCTTTCCAAGACCTAACCAATCTTTCGCTACCCTCTCATTATTGTTGCTGGCCGCTTTTTTTTTTTTTTTTAATCTTCATCTATCAACACATCCGTCGCTCTTAGAAAAACGCGCCAGGAGCAGAAGCGGCTCAACGTTTCGGGTTAAGCCCAAAGCTGCGAGGAAGCTGCCCCGGGCGACCCCCGACGTTCCCGCATCACCTACCTGCCACCTCTGAAAGAGGCGCGGGGAAAATCAGCCGGAGCAGGAGGAGCCAGAGAGCTGACGCCGCGCGGTCACTCATTGAGAAAGGACAGCGCCTGTGCGTTGCATGATGCTCTTCTCCGCCACCTATCCTCAATTCGGTCGGACGCAGAGGGCGACCGCAGCGGCGACCCCAACAAGCCAAGAAGCGAACTTCCGGTCTTCCTAGGGCTGACACACTTAGCGACTCCTGCCTGGCCGCTTTTGGCTCGTTCCCCTGAGAGGGAGTGACGCGCAGCGACCCTGCCGTACACTTCGCGCCCCGACTGCTTTCCAGGGCTTGGGCTAGTTACTTGCAAGTTGCGCGCTAGCGCCTGGTTCCCGAATCCAAACACTCAGAAGCCACGCCTGTTTAAGCGGAATAGTGGCGAAGTGGGAACTGGGTAGGGCCTGTCTGGGGTTTAAATATTGGGGGGAGGGGGAGGTGAGGGGGGCAGAAAGTCTAATTGCAGGGCTAAGATGCTGGAAAATCTCGTCAAAAACCAAGCTCTTGTTTCATCTCTCCCTGGCCCCCCCCCTTTTTGCATAGAAATTTCTTCCAGAAAGTTGTCTTTATTGCTTGATTGATTTTAGTTAAGTCTTATTTACCATAGCGTTATGAAATCTGTTTATCTCTAAATTGTGTGTGTGGGCATTGGGAAGCTGTTAAGTGCCACAGCTTTACAGAAACCACAGAGAGGTCTTTTTCAAATATTTTTTTTTCTCATCTTTGTGGGAGAGAATGCACAAAGCCACAGTTTTTGGCAGTGGTGCAAAATCCTTTGGAAGTCTGTAATTTTAGTGACAAGGTACAGTACTGTTAAACGTCAGCATTTCTGCCAGAAGGACTATGTCAATTTCTGTTTCCTATTACATGGTCTTAAGAAGTGGTGTATCCTACAATATTTTACTTGATTAACCATTTACATTAATTGAAGAAAAACATTTTAGTTAATTAAAAAGGCATTCACAATTTATGGTGCAGAAGAACCTTTATTTACTTTTTAAAAAATGTCAAAAAGCTGGGGCTAGCCAGCACAGCTTTAGAACCAAGGTATCTCTCTTCCAAGAGTTTTGACGAGAAGAGGATACTCTTAATATTGTTGCCTGCTGCAACACCAACTTCTAAAAATAAATAATTATATATGCATTTTATGAATATGTAACTGATTTGCTCAACAATGAAAATGTTCCATAAGATTGTACCACATTTTTTTATAATGCAACCCTACATAAGATTATATAGAATCACAAAATTTCCAGGAAATTGTATACGGAACTGCAGCAAATCTATAGAATGGGCTCCCTATTTCTTACTAGACATATGTAGGATTAAGCTGCAAATCATGTGACATCAATAGCCGCAAGGCCAGCAACATTGGCTTCTTGCTCTAACTCATTTTGTACAAGTTGAGGCATCACTTCGATGGTTCTCATCCTTTGGGGTGTGTCAGTTGCTTATTATCACCTGCCAATGTGTTGGCACAGGGCAACTGGTCTATCAGTGAAAAATGAGTATAGAGCTTTGTTGTTCATATTCTGAGTCTGGATTCACCCATTGCATAAAAACATAAGCCAAAGCTTACAAATCGTCATGGCATTTTGGGAGGCAAAAGTCTAGCAATCTGGCAAATAAAAATGGGATTATTTTATTAGAGTACTTGGCAATCCTATGTGACTGACATGCAAGTGTCTTTATAGATAAAATTTTGTGCATTTATTCTGGCAAGGATGTTCCAGTTGATCATTTCAAAATCGGCACTGCTGATTTAATTCATCTTCAGAACCTCCTCACACTTAGTGGGTGTTTGAAATTTGAAACTGATTCTGAGTTTACATAGTGGATTAAACCATGGTTTATGGACTAAATGACAATTGGCTTATGCTAATATGTGAAGATTGATTTATCAGTGGTAAAGTCAAATTCACACGACATTCTAAGCTGAATCCAAACAAGCCACATGATAGCTTAATAAGATGTGCAGAGTCAACCTCTTTTACTCTTGATCTTTATTGATCTAAATGTTTTAAGTCAGCTAACTAAGGACTAAAAATGAGTTTTACTGCAAATAATACTGAAAGATCTTCAGGCTGTTTTGAAGTTGGCAACTGTCCCTGGATCTCCATAATGATATCCAGTGCTTTTTTTGTAAAAAAAAAAAAAAAAAAGGTGCCGGAACTCACACACGTCATACAACCCGCCTTGCCTACCCTACAAGGATCCATCCAAAAAAGGTGCCGGAACTCCGTTCTGGCGTTCTATGACAAAGAAAGCCCTGATGATATCCTAAAGCACTTTTCATGAGATTAAACTTATCCATCAAGGGTACTTTTCTCTATATCCTTCATGTATTCATCATATTTATATAGCTGCCCATCTCATAGATCGTGACTATGAGGGAGTTTCAATAAAAAATACAATGATCTAAACTCAGACTTTCATGCTGTTTTCCATTCCAGACTGAATTCCTATAATAATGTGGGGTTGTCTATTATTATGAATTGGAGCAAGTTTATACAGAAAACCACTTTGTCATTACTTATATGAATTCTTTGTTAAGGGAAATATGAGAGCTATTGGACAGAATATATCAATCAGGGTAAAAACAAAATAACCTTTGTCCTTAGAGGCTGTTTATGTGATTACCATATAGTGAAAAAAAGACTTGCTTATGATTAAAACTGCATTTTATTTCTTCTATCTATTTTATGTATATGTTAATTCAACTTGATATGTGTGTACTTGATATAAGAGATTCTGATTCCTTTCCATAAATCTAAGGTCTTTGAAACATCTGAACACAATTGATGAACACAATTGAATATTATCCTTTTAAAAAAAGTATACTATTACCAGACTGTGCTAAACAGTCATATTAGGAAAATAAACAGAAATGCCATCTCAAAAATAGAACTGTGCTTAAGATTGTTATTTCACTTTAGCTACCCAACTTTCTTATGAGTATGTGTCAGAAATAGTGGCTTTGTTTTACTACTCTAACTGAAGGTGCCTATGAATTTGTAACACAATTAATTAAAAGAATTTCCTTTTCCTGATCTTTCTATCGTTGAGCTCAAAATAATTTTCTTTTCCCCCCAAAATGCATTTAGAAGAGCAAGCCATATAAATGTTGTTGAAAGCCCTCTAAATTAGAAATGTAAATAACATTCTCAGATTTAGTCCAAATAGCATCACATATTGCCAGATGGACTGAAGGGAATCATGCAAGAATTTGGAAGGAAATTATATGAAGAGATTTTTTTTTAATCTCTGCCAGATAGGCAAAGCATTTTTAAAAACAATTATATTTGGATGGAAAGAATCCAGAGACTAATTCAAACATGCACAGATATAGCAGAATTAAATAATCAGACTCAAAACAAAATATTTGTTTCTTTAAAATTACTATTTTTCTATCAAGGTTAAAAAAAAAAACACCCCTCCAAGAGTCAGTCTACATAGCAGCAGGATATAAATTTAACAAACAAACAAGATGAATTGGTATCTTTTAAATATCATGTTCAGAACAATGGAAAAATATTTTTTACTCAGCCAATTCTGACAGAAGAGTAGCCATGGTAAAGTTTCAGGAATCCTTCTATTCAAAGGAGTTACAAAGCTGAGACCTTCACTCCTATATACCTCCTTCATAAAGTAGATAGCAAACTCCTACTCCTAGTGTAAGAACAACCCTACATCACTAATAATAATAATAATAATAATGATAATAATAATAATAATAATATTGGAAGGGACCTTGGAGGTCATCTAGTCTAACCCCCTGCTCAGGCAGGAAACTCTATACCATTTCAGACAAATGGCTGTCCAATCTTTTCTTTAAAACTTCCAGTGTTGGAGCATTCACAACTTCTGGAGGCAGGTTGTTCCACTGATTAATTGTTCTAATTGTCAGGAAGTTTCTCCTTAGTTCTAGGTTGCTTCTCTCTTTGGTTAGTTTCCATCTGTTGGTTCTTATCCTGCCTTCAGGTGCTTTGGAGAATAGCTTGACTCCCTCTTCTTTGTGGCAGCCCCTGAGATATTGGAACACTGCTATCATGTCCCTCCTCGTCCTTCTCTTCATTAAACTAGACATACCTAATTCCAGCAACCATTCCTTATATGTTTTAGCCTCCAGTCCCCTAATCATCTTTGTTGCTCTTCTCTCTACTCTTTCTAGAGTCTCAACATTTTTTTTTACATCGTGGTGACCAAAACTGGATGCAGTATTCCAACGTGGCTTTACCAAAGTATTGTAAAGTGATATTAACACTTCACGTGATCTTGATTCTATCCCTCTGTTAATGCAGCCTAGCACTATGTTGGCTTTTTTGGCAGTTGCAGCACACTGATTGTCCACTAAGACTCCGAGATCCCTTTCACAGTTACTACTATTGAGCAAGAAACCACCTATACCAGTGATGGCGAACCTTTTAGAGACCGAGTGCCCAAACTGCAACCCAAAACCCACTTATGCATCGTCGGGCGCTGAGTGGGCGTGGCCCATTGGGTGGGCGTGGCCCATTGGGTGAGCATGGCTGCAGTGGTAATGGCAGACTGGGTGGGACAAAAAGTTCAATCAATCAATTCCAACTTTGCGAGATTTTTTTCCCCGCAAGAAGTTGAAATTGATTGATTGATTGAACCTTTTTTTTTTTTTGCACATGGAGGTGGAGGCCTAAAGCAAAAAGGTTTTATAAAACCCAGCTAAAGGCCTAGGACTGGGGTGACGGCACGCATGCCCACAGAGAGGTCTCTGCGTGCCACCTGTGGCACACGTGCCATAGGTTCGCCACCATGGACCTATACTATACCTGGGCATTTGGTTTTTCTTGTCTAAATGTAGAACCTTATCTTTTTCACCACTGAAATTCATTTTGTTTTCTAATATACAGTGTTCAAGTCTGTCAATATCCTTCTGTATCTTAAGCCTGTCTTCTGGAGTGCTGGCTATTCCTGTCAGCTTGGTGTCCTCTGCAAATATTATGACTTCCCCATCTATCCCCTTGTCCAGATCATTGATGAAGATGTTGAAGAGCACTGGGCCTAGAACAGAGCCCTGGGGCACCCCATTACACACTTCCCTCCATGTAGATGCAGTTCCATGGAGGACCACATGCTGAGGATGGCTGATTAGCCAGCTACAAATCCATCTGGTGGTGATGCTGTCTAACCCACATTTTTCTATCTTATCAAGTAATAGATTGTGATCTACTTTATCAAATGCCTTACTGAAGTCCAACTAAATTATATTCACCGCATTCCTCTGGTCCAGTAATTTTGTCACTTGGTCAAAGAACGCAATAAGATTTGTCTAGCATGATCTGTTTTTGACAACCTATGTTGGCTTTTGGTAATGACTTTGTTTGCCTCTAGGTGGTCACTGATTTGTTGTTTGATTATCTTTT